TGAGATTCTGGCGACAGCTCTGACCTCAGATGCTGGGAAGCGCTGGTAGGGGTAGAGCGACTTCCGGTCCCCACACAGCAGTTTCTTCATCTGTGACCCTCCCCTGGGAGCAGTAAGGATAATAGAGCAGACGTTAAAGGATTGCAAAGCACCAAAGGATAAGACACTTCGGATCCCAAGTTGATCTCGAGGATTGAGCTCAGATTCTTTTAAGGGAAGAAGCTTGCCCAGAGGCCGTCCTCCCCCCTGCCTCCCACCTCTGCAATGATCCCTGGCTTGGGCACACCTTGCACGTGCCTTGTTCCCAGTCAGAAGGGGATAGAGAGGCACTGTGAAGAGTGAACGTGCTGGGGTAGAAGGGAGGTGGGTTTACCAAGTTTTCTGGAGCTGCTGGAGAGACACAGAGAGAAGGAAAGTGAGAAAGCACCCCTCCCCCCTGCAATCCCTTCTCCATTTCTCCCTCCTTTGGGGATTTTGGACACACACACACACACACACACACACACACACGTACTGGGCGTGTTTTCCGAACTGCTGGGTCTGGAATTCAGTGAGGCTGCTGGCCATGTGGTATTTAGCCACCTGAACCTCCACACCATTGGCTGTTCCATTACCAAATTTTCTAGACAACTAACCCAGACAGGGTCCTGCAGTTAGAGACCAAAAAGAGTAGAATAACCCAGGTGAATTTTTTTTTTTTTTGAGAGGTTTTTCCTATAGGGCGCGTGTGCGTGCATGCCCAAGATCCGGAGAGGAGAATGGAGAAGGGATTGCGGCGTGACCATCCCCCCTGGGGGGTGGTTTCTCGCCCGCGCCCGGCATGAGTTTTAAGCCACCGGGTCCGGGACGCGAACCGCGGTCGACTACGTGGGAGTCCAGCAACATAGCCATTACGCTAACTGCTGGTTCCCAACCCAGGTAAATTTTTAAGGAGCCACTGAATATGTGTGGGGCACGTGGAGAGAATATAGGCGAAGGCAGTCCAGGGCAAAGTGATGAATAAAGATGGGAGGAAAGAGACCTGGGGGCTGGCAGGGAGGTGGCGGGTGGAGGGGGGTGGGAGTTGAGAATGGGGTCAGGGTGAGAGGGAGCAGGAAGAAGAGGCTGAACAAGAAGAGGGGCCAGGAGGAGCTGGGCCAGGAGGCCGGTGGGGCAGGCAGATGGAACAGCAGAGAGCGCGGAGCCACCGGGCGGGCGCGCGGCGAGGCCTGGCAGCCGAGCCCGCGGATTCCGTGGGGAGCAGATGCTTGCACGCGACAGCAGCTGATGGTCCGCAGCACGTGCGTCCTCGTTGACTCCAGGCCCAGCGTAGCCTCCTCGGCAGCCAGCCTTGGCCTGGAGGAGTGACCCAGGTCCAGAGCGGCAGATGGAAGACAGCCCGGACCAGTGGGGGCTCCGTTCTAAAAAGGGCTCCACCCAGCCCCTGCGTCTCCAACCCGAGGCCTTGAAAATCCCGGGGAAGCCATCCGCGGCCTCATCGCGCCGATTGGAAATGGGGGGTTGCGCAGGAGGGTGACTCTGGGCCACGCGCGGTGCGAGCTCAGCCCGAGCGGGAGCGTGCAGGGCTGCATGGGTGCGCGCTGGAGGGAGGGTCTGAGCCCGAAGACTCAGCTCCCCGGCGCCCCGCTGGGAAGGGGCGGGGCTGCGCGGGTTCGCGCCCTCTTCCCGCCTGGTGGCTGGGCTGAGAGCGTCCACAGCCCTGCTGCCGCCTACGCCTCCAGACTGCCACAGCCTCTTCTGAGCCGGAAGGAGCAGGGTGGACCCTGAGTCCTGATGAGATGGGGCCTCCCTGGCCTGTTCGCTCCAGCTGCCACTCAGAGGCCACTTTCCCATCACTGCTGCACAGAGCAGCGTCTACAAGCCTCTGCTGGAGGGGGTGGGGGGGGCTCCCACCCTAGAATCCCCTCTGGTGGGAAGGACGCTCAGAAAGGTCTGGGGAGAGGGAGGTTTTCACCAGTTCCTGGCCCTCCCCCCAGTCCCATACGACCCCCGTCACCCATCTCGCCCCCACCCGAAATGGCGTGCTTAGAACACCGCAGACTCCCTCTGCTGCGCCTGGGGCAATTCCTCGCTGGGTCTATACCCAAGGTCAGGGGTCTTGCCAGTGGCCCCGGAGCAGACAGCCGGGCCCTGGAAGGGGCGGAGGTAGGAGGGGAAGCGGCCACGACTGCAGTACCGAGTGCAGGCATTGTCGGAGTGAGACAGGTACCGCGGCAGCCAGATGGGCCGAGTAGAAACAGAAGTTAAGTAGGAAGAGACGGATAAACAGCAGACACCAAGCAACCAGCCAAGCATATGCTTTGCAAGCAGGCAGCACAAGCACCCAGTAGGGCCGGGGGAGGGGCATGGGCCCACGGGGAGGGGGCTGCCTGCTGCCTGGTCAGAGCGAGTGAGCTAATCCTCCACGACCAGCCAAGCATATGCTTTGCAAGCAGGCAGCACAAGCACCCAGTAGGGCCGGGGGAGGGGCATGGGCCCACGGGGAGGGGGCTGCCTGCTGCCTGGTCAGAGCGAGTGAGCTAATCCTCCACGGCGCCTAGGGCAGCGGAGCTGCAGCTCAGCCGGCCAGGGAAAGGGGCCGCTGCGGGGTGGAAGGAGGAGGGAAGTGCTCCAGCCCGCGCCCCAGGTGGGGAGGTCTCTGGCGAAAGAGAAAGTCTGAATAGCCAGGTGCCATCTCCAAGCCCCTAGAGCAGAGACACCCCTCCACCCCCCCACCCCCCCAAAGCTGAACCGGATTCGGGAAAGGAACAGAGAGCACCGGGCCCCAGGCGAACTGGGAAGTCCTTGTGTCCTGCAGGGCCGGCTTCCCCGCTAACGAGCCTGCCTAGGCAGGAGCCTTCAGTCTGGTGATGTCATCTCTCTGGGCTCCAGGCTGAGAAGGGAAGGGGTGGAGCCAGGCTGGAGCTTTGCGGAGTTGCAGGCTCCACCCCTAGACCCGTCCACCCAGCTCTCTCCTGGCCACGGCTTCCCCACCAGCCCTGCGGAAGACCAGGTGCTGCTGCAGAACCGGAGCGGGAGGAGGGTCACCCAGAGTCACCATGCAGAAGCAGCGCCAGGACAGGGGATGGGCTTACCCGGGCCCTTCTAGCTCCTCCATGCCCTTCCCACCTTCACTTAGAGGAGCACCGAGGTTCTCAGAAAGCCCAGTTTCCTGGAACCCCTACCTCAGCCTCTCCCCTACCTCCCACCATGTCCAGAAATCTCGAATGCACTGCCAAGTACTGGGTGTCCCGCTGGAATTCCTTCCCTGAATGCCGCTCCAGGGAGGAGTAACTGAGGAAAACAAGCACAACCCTGGGTCTCAGTGCTGAGCTAAAGGAATACAGGCTCTGAGCTGAAACCGAGCAGTTCTAAGCCCCAAAGCCAGCCAGCCCTCCTGCAGAATGGTGCCTTCACCTCTCACATGCTCCAGCTGGACCTCAGCCAGCCCTGGCCAGCTGCTGGCCTCGTTCCAAAGCTGGCATTGGCCCCAGCCTCCTGCCCCTCTCTTTTCCAGGGCTACCCTAGTCTATACCAGTCACCGTGGATTGGGGCATTGAGATCTCTGGACTGGCAAAAACCTGAGATCCTAGACGTCAAGGTGCTACTGGATATTGGCTCTGGCAGCCCCATACCCACCCAGAATAGTTCAGGGGCAAGACCCAGCCCAGCCTGGACTGGGAGATTCACCACACCACGGGGCTCTTGTTTGGAGTCAGCTGCTTGGCACAGCCCCAGGGCCCAGAGCAGAGAGGCGCTTTCCCAGGTGCAAGCCCTTGGAAGCCTGGGAGCCAAGCCCACATGTGCCCACGTGCCCAGGGCAGATGCTCAGCCTTTATTAAGCTGTGGTCCTATAGTCCTGATATGGCTGGGACAGACAAACGTGTGATGAGGGTGACACTAGCAGGAGGAACAAGGGTCCGCGAAAGAAAACTCTACTTCAAGTCACTGAGCCCTGGGCCAGGGGCGTCTTGGCGAGACCAGCACTAGGGCTACTCATGCCAGGAAGGTGTTGCCGCTTACTCTGCCACTTCTCGACCCTTACACATGAAACACATTGCCCTAATAGCCCCCATTATACTATGGTGCTTTTCAGGGTGCTTTCTTACACACTGCATTTGATCCCCATAACGTTACTATGTTGGGAGAGAACAGACAGCATTTTTATCCGTTTGGGGATGAGTAAACTGAGGCAGGATTTGAGAATCTAGTTGTGACAGGCCTCCCAGGCATGGGTAGGTACAGAACAGGAATAAGCCCAATAGCTCATGAACCCAGCTAAGCCAGGAGCCGAAGCTCCCAGACACCTGGGAAGTGAGCCTTTCCCCACATTGCACTGATTCACATCTGCTGCTCGAAAGCAAGAGGCCCAGCAAAGTGACCAGGGGCAGAAGCGTCCATGTGTGAATAGCTGTTTGAGGAAGGAGAACAGGGCAATCATGTGATGGAGCGGATGTCACCTTGCGTGTGGTCTGGGAGAGCCGACCGTGGCTTATGATAAAGAGGGTGTGACCTGGGATGGGGTGAGGTCTGGGACTATGTGAGTGCTGCGTGTGTAGGTACAGCCCAGGGAAGGCTGTCGCTCTGTGTGCACAGCATGCCATAGAAGCTGTGCGCGGTCTTTAGAAGTGGCAGAGGTGCATACCTGGCGTTGACAAGGATGTGCGCGTGAACTTGAGATGACCGTGAATGCTAATGTGTATGCTGAAAGAAAGGGAGATAAGGATGTGTTTATGGGATGTGAGCAGGGTCTGTACTGGTTTTTTCTGGGTAACTATAAAAGAAAAATTATAGTGACAGGTTCAAGAGTGAGTCTGTGAGCACAGCCTGTGTCTGAGGGCACACACAGACTGTGCAGTGAGTGCACGCCCGGACCCACCCCAGGAGGGGCCCTCCTGGGGCTCCCAGCCGAGAGGAGCTCAAGCGCACCTCTGTCCTCCTTCCAAAGATTCTTCGACACCCTTCCTACCTAGGACTAGGCAAGGTTCCCAGGCGCAGGCACCTCCTCTTCCTGCTCTCCACTCCCCTCCCAGACCTGCAGAAGACTGGGACCAGCCGATCAAAGGTCTCTAAAATCCTGGAGACCCTGGGAGATGGGAAGAAAAAGGTGTCATGGGTTCCCAAGGAGGGACTTGGAGTCAGTGGATCCAGCTCCGCCCAGCTCGATGCCTGAATCCAGGTCCCAGAGCTAGACCTTGAGCCCCTCTGTGTTGAAGCCACGACCCGGCTGCGTAAGGCCACATGAGGAACTCCCCACACCCACACCCCTGGGAGTGGCACAGGGCAGCCCCCAGCACCATGGGGCAGGCAAGCTGCCATTCTCTATGCATCTCACCTGCTGAGCAGGTGCCCCAACCAGAGAACCTGCAGATCCTCTCTGAGTGGGGGCCCTGGTCCCCTTCAAGGCATGTGCTCAGAGTCCCAAGAGCAGATTCCCCTCATAACCACAGGCCAGGCTGCCAGGGGGCCCATCAGGGTCACCACAGAGGAGCCCCACTCCCCCTCCATCTCTGCTGTTTGGGGTCATGCTGAGCCCTGACATGTATAAGGCAACCTCGGTCATTCACAGAAGGGGGCTCAATCCTACAGCCCTGGCCTCCCCGCAGTCAGTCACAGAAGGGGGCTCAATCCTACAGCCCTGGCTTCCCCACAGTCATCACAGAAGGGGGCTCAATCCTACAGCCCTGGCTTCCCCACAGTCAGTCTCCTCTCAGCCACTGGGAGAAGGCTGGGGGGAGGGCTGTGAGCTGAGGCTGGCCCCTCCTCCTCCCCATTTCCCTCTAGCAGAGGACTGGCCTGGATGGTCACTGGCAGAGATGGAGGGCTGATCACAGCTGGAAGGGACCTCAGCCCTACTTCAGGGCCCCAGCCCCTGCCCCCATGTCACAAACAGGAAAGCTGAGACCCCCACGGTCACAGAGCTCACTTGGGGCCACACTAAGGTTATAACTTGTTGGGGTTTTTGCAAAGTTTTTTTTTTTAATTGCCAGAGGGCACATGTGCTCACCAGAGAGAGACAGAGAGACAGAGAAAGGGAGAAAGCGCTCACCAAGGGGCTTAGTCATGTCACAGTCTCTCCCCCTCCCTTTCTCCATGCTGTGGGGCCACACGCACATATACCCTGAGTGTTTTTCAAGCTACCAGGGCAAGGCGGCAGAGCTTCTGAGCTCTAGAACACGCGTTTCTCAAGGACAGTTCTTGTCTACGTGTTCAGCTATGTGAGGCATCCTTAGGGCTCCGGTCAGTGTCGGGGTGTAGCAGGGGAGAATACAAATCACATCTGATTAATTTATCGATCTGCATAATACCTGTCTTCCTAGGCCTGCTCTTCCTGGTCTCCAGCAACCACAAGAATTACTGTCATTAGGGAGCACTAGAGAAAACATTTCAAGAATTATTTTGCGTTCCATTGTCGAGTTTCATGATGCGTAATTTTTTATCTGCTGTTATGGACCAATCACCCTGGGGAAACCAAGACAGTCCAGCCAAACCCTAAATCCAGATCTCCTGACCCCGTTTTCATTGTGTCCTGCCACTGGCCAAGCACCCTCCATGAAGCCGAAGTCCTAGACGTTGCTGGGAGCATGCGCAGCGGGGCTTAGCTAGCCCTGGGAGGGGACTGCCCTGCAAACAGCAGCATTGACAAATGCAGTCTGCAGCTGGCCCCAGGAGCCTGCGCCCTCAGGTGTAGAAAGAGAAGCGGTTCTAAGTCTTAGGAGAATCAGGCTGGACCCAGACCTCAGGGCGGCTCTGGTTCCTCCCCTCCCCACCGATCCATGCGGCCCTCCTATGGCCCTCCCTTCTTTGTCCCACTTTAGCCTTTCAGCTCAGCTGCTAAACCCATGGGGGATTAAGGAGCTGGGGACAGGAGGGACGGGCTCATTCTTTGACTTACAGGGTGCCTTTGTGAGGAGAGGAGAGCTGGGTCCTCAGTCTGCTGGGCCACCTCCCTGGCCTTCTCCTCGCCCACGTTGGTTGGTTTGCTGGAGCCTCCTGTGGAGACACGAGCTCTAAGAGGCGGGTGTACAGCTGCTGCTTCTGTCTGGAGCTAAAAATAGCCTCCTCTCTCTCTGTCCATGTCCGGCTCAGGCTGGGCCAGAGCTGTGAGGAGGACTCAGGCAGATGGGCAGGAGAAGGGGACAGACACATGTCCCCCAAATGGGCCAAGACCAGGTGAGACATGAGCAGGGAGGGCACAGCGTTGGGCTCGCACCTCAGCTCTGGTCTGCAGAAACCCCCTTAGGAAGGGGTGGGCTTTCTTATCGGGGGTGGGGGCAGGGGTGGCAGGCTAACCTGGGCCACGTACCAGCGTCGGTGTTTACCATTGGGGCAGATACCGTTTCAAGCCTCCGAGATATAGAAGGACCCTATGATGTAGGTATAGTGTTTGTTTGTTTGTAGTTTTTTAGGTTTTTGCCACAGGGCACGTGCATGAGAGAGAGAGACAGTGGGAAGGATAGTGAGAACTCACCCCCCAGGGCTGGCAGGTGGCATGGTGGTTAAAGGTGCCAGACTCCCACATGGCTCACTGAGGTTCGAGTCCCAGACCTGGCAGTTAGCTTTCTCACTTTCCCTCTCTCTCTTCCACTCTGTCCCTCTCTGGTCAAATTAAAATAAGTAAACATATAAATAAAGTTAACTTTAAAAATAAATAATTTTTAAAAAAGAAAAAAGAAATCCCCCCCAGTAGGTGCAACCCTGTCTACCCCATTCTCTTCCCGGGATTTGGGGCACGCATACACACGCACTCGATATGATTTTTTTTTTTTTTTGCTATAGGGTGTGTGCACTCGCCAGACAGAGAGAGACAGAGAGACAGAAAGCGAGAAATCGCCCCCCAGGGGGGATGGCCATGCCGCAATCCCTTCTCCTCCATTCTCCTCTCGGGATCTGGGGCTTGCACGCACACGCGCCCGGCGTGAATTTTAAGCCACCGGGTCCAAGACGCAAACTGCGGTCGACTACGTGGGAGTCCAGCGACACAGCCATTACGCCCAAGCCATTACGCTAACTGCGGGTCCCGACCCAATATTATTTTTAAGCTGCCAGGTCCAGGACTGTTCTCACAATGCACTTTGATGGTTGGAGACACACGCCCTGAGATGTTTACTCGCTGGGCCAGGAAGTAGGGGCTGGCTCCTACCTCAAGCAGCCTGAATGCAAGCCCGCCCACCCACCCCCTTAGCCAAAGCCGCAGTCCTTGACACGGCATAATGGGTGGGTAAGAGATCAAATTCCCAGGTTTGGCATGCAGTGGCCCTCCAGTGGCCTCAGGGCACACCTTCTAGAAGAGCTCCGTGTTGTCTCAGACACAGGACATATTCCCAGGCCCATAGCCCCTCCACCACGGCCTCGATTTTGCTTCCAGTATCGTGCCCTTACCTGCCACCCTTCCCTGTCTTCCTAAGAGGTGGGGGTATGATGCCTGGAGACACAGAGGAACGGCCTTGGTGGGTGGTCACGCCTTTGGAAACACCATGCAGGAGCTGGAGGAGCCGGCTTTAAACACTTACAGCAAAGCAGATTTGGATCTCACAGAGATGGGGTGAAGGATCTCACAGAGAGGGGTAAGGAAGGAGCGAAGGAGGAGGGCAGAGAAAGAGAGGGGGGAGAGGCGAGAGAGACAGAATGAGAGAGGAGTGGGTTCTCGGACCAAGCCAGCCTTTCCCTCTCATCTAAGAGCCACCCTGGAGGGGATGCGGTCCTTTGGAGTTGAGAGCAGCAGCTTTGGTGACAAAGGGCACAGGTGGCAGGGACGGAGCCCTGGTGTCAGCAGGAGGGGGAAGTGAGAGAGGGCAGCTCTGGGGGACCTCTGGACGGGACATTCTCACTCACACTGCCTTGGTCCTTTCTCCTCCACGGAGACCTGTGTTGGGCTCGCCTTGTTTAGAGCCAAGATACACACCATCCTCCCGCAGAGCCACTAATGCAATTAACAAAACACATTCATAAATCTTGCATGGCGTCCGGAGCTGTCTCCTCTCCCTCAGCGCAGGGCCAGCTCCGGAGATGCTGTGGGGAGAGCTGTCTGGTCTCAGCAGCCTCCGCGCCACCTACAGAACACAGCATAACCCTTAGTAGGACAGCAAGGCCGTCCCCTTCCTGCCGAGCATCCTCACAAGTGCGGGGAGCCAGGAAGCGGAATCAGAAGAGGCTGGCAAAGGGGAAGTGAGTGTGTGGAAGGGTGCAGAGGCTGGGGAGTGGTCACACCTGCTGGGCTGGAGAGAGCCGTCCAGGAAGCCCACAGAGCTGCCTCCTTCAGACAGTAACCTGACCTCCAGAGGGCAAAGGCTGAGAGCAGAGGAGCCCCAGGGCATGGGCATGGCACGGCCATGTGAGCTTGGATTAGGGGCACGTCGGTGTTTGTGTTTTTATGTTTGCGAGTGTGTGTACGCGTGCGTGTTCAGTCTGGAAAACGGGTGACTCACGAAAACAGGAGCTTTCTGATCCGAAGAGCTTACATTCAGCTATTTTTATCTCCTCTTGTCTCTTGGCCTTTTTTTCCCCCTTGTCTTTTCCAAATGTGGAGAAATTTAGGGACTATGAATGCCTGTGTACAAATGCTAAATTAAAACTGGGGTGCAGAGGTGGGTACCCCTGGAAGGGCAGAGGTAAATGTACACGCAGGGTCTATGGGTGTGTGTGGGGGGCCCACTGGCACAGATGTGGTACACATGCCCATATTGTGGTATGTACCTATGCACACATGCATACATGCACACATGAGCGAGACCAGAAATGTCCCTGGAAATTTCCACACCACCTGCCTAAAGTCTGCTGGGAGCTGGTGGCTAGCCACACGCTGTTACACTTCACATCTCTGACTGCCAACCTCAGATCAGCCCCACAGCCTCACACCCACCCACGCGCCCACGCTCACGTGGACACGCAGCCACATGCACAGTCCTGGGCCTCTGTCTTGGGGAGCAGCCCCGGCCCCCGTGTCTTCTGTCTCCTCTGCCCAGCCTTCCTCTTCATTACCCCAACATCGTGACTCTTGTCAAGAAACGCCAGCTGCTGCACTGGGCTTCTCCTGTGACTCATCCCAGCTGATCCCACCCACCGTGGCCCCGAGCCCCCTCCCCAGTCCAGCAGTCTCCCAGCTATGCAGGCCTGGCACCAGCTTGGAGGGCCCTCCTCCTTCTGTGTCAGGAGCCAACGTGGACTCAAGTGAGGCGCCCTATCATGGGCATGGGCAGGAGCAGGCTGTGCCTTCAGGTTCTAGAAGGTGGCAGGGCCGGCCCTTGTCTCTGTGTCGACAGCATAGGTGCACTTAGCAGATGGCGGACACACTTGGTGCTGCTGCACACGTGGGGACAGCCCACACACACCGCAGTGGCATAGGCCACCAGAGAGGTGACTTGGGGGTCCTTTTTCCCTGGGGGAATGGCCTGAGCTCCGACAGTTTCCTGGGCCTATGGTACATGCATGACTCGGAGGCCCCGCCGAGGGGCTGACATCCAGCTGTGTGTAGCTGCTGGCGCGTGTTCCCTGCTGAGGGGCTGTGTGCCCAGGGGCTCCGTGGGCCCTGGTGTCCAGTGGGCACTGGTTACAGCTGCCGGAAGAAGCCAGCCACCTGTCCACTCCACAAACATTTGGGGATCGAGTGCTGCGTGCAAGGCACAGAGCTGTCATTCAAAGGTCAAGCCAGAGGGTCCAGCAGGTGGCGTGGTGGTTAAGGGCGCTGGATTCCCACATGGCTGACGGCAGTTCGGGTCTCAGAACTGGTGACTTATTTTCCCACTTTCTCTCTCTGTCTCTCTCTCTCTTTCTCTGGTCAAATTATAAAATAAATAATACTAATAAATAAATAAAAATAAAATAAAATAAAAATAAAAAAAGGTCAGGCCAGCCCCTCCCCAACAGGCTGGCAGGGAAGGCGACACCGGTACCATGTCCTGAGAGAGCGTGCCACCACGGCCAGTGTGCCTGCGCCACGCAGGGGGAGCGTCATCTCCTGCAGAGAACAGGGTGGGGTCTGGGCCTTGATAAGGGATGGCTTTCACCAGTCAGGGAGGAGCCTCTCAGGTGGGGAACCTGGCCAGTATGACGGGCCTGGGATCAAGTTCTGCCTTGACTCATCCCTGGCTTCGTGGCTCTCCTCGAGAAGAGGCTGCGAATCGCCTGCTCTCTTCTTACCCTGCAGGGAAGGACAAGGTTTTTGCCTTCTTGAAAGACATGGAGGTCTTCCACATGGGTGCCTTTCAAGCATCTGTAATGTGGACCCAAAGGGGGCGTCGCCTCCAGAGAGGTCCTGAGGATTAAATGGGAGACTCCGTGGGAAGTTGCCAGCACCGAGCCAAGTGAGCAGACGCTGCCTCAGTTGTTTCTCTCAGCCTGTGTCATAGGCTATGGTGATGACTGAGAGACCCCAGGCGGAGGGGCTTGATGTTCTCCTTAGACAATGACGTAGGATGAGTTTTAAGCAGAGAACAACATAATCGAGATTTAGAGAGAAAATCCTGGCAAAGCTGTGACACGGCTGGAGAGTTGATCTGGAGGCTGTGCAGACAGGCAGATAGGCAAGATCTGACAACAGGAGCCAGGACAGCAGCGAGACCTGGAGGAGGGCTCACTTTCGAGGGCCTTGGCAAGGGGAGAATGGGGAGAGTGGGCTGAGGATGGGGAAGGAAGAGTCAGCATAGGGCAGCTGGGGGACTCAGAAGTTTCTAGATCACTGGCCTGGGCAGATGGAAATGCTGCCTCTCAAAGCCTTACGGAGACCAGCAGATGGTGTAATGAATGGTTTCATCACTGGATTCCCATGTATTCAACCACGGCTCGAGTTCTGGACCTGGTGGCTTCAAACTCATGCCAGGCGTGTGTGTGTACATGCCCAAAATTCCCAGAGGGGAGTGGAGAAGAAGGGTTTGCAGCGTGGCCATGCCCCTGGGGAGCCTGGAGCACTATGTGAGAAGGATTCTGAGGCAGCGTGCAAGTTTAGCAGGAGTGCTCGGTCAGTGCTGACGCTGTGCTGAGTGCCG